ATTCATCCATTTGATATTACAGCATGATGTTGCTTTGGTGCTGGACTGAAAATACAAAGGTCCGAAAATAGCCTATACCCACCCTATTGCATGATAACAGCTTGTACAGTCACCCGTCTCTGCTCTATATGGTCCACTGTCTTTTGTAGCTAGCCTTGGATTTAAAATGTAAGTAAGAAGTGTAAAACCTACTATCTCTATACAGAATATATAACATGTAATTGAACTTTATTGATCTCATGTTGCATCATGGGGCACCCGGGGAGCAATCTGGGGTTAAGGGTCTTGCTCAGAGAGCCAGAGTGGCAGTCTGTGGGAGTGGGGCTCGAACTCAGAACCTCAGAATTCTAAGCTCTATGGCCTAACCACTAGGCCGCCACTCCCGAAGAACACTTTACCCTTCTTTTAAATCTGTCTCAAACCCAGGACTTCTGTGAAGACGGGTGTGGGTTGCTTACTCACCAGGATAAGAAATGAGAGCTCGAGCTAGGCCAAGGGTCGGCAACCAAAACTGCGTATTTATCATGATTTCCCTGGAAATGCCTTTCCAAATTACTCTTTTTTTTTTTTGACAAACTCTCATTACAAAGAAAATTGCAGGCAATCCTTCCGCACTGGTAATGAAAGCAAATGATGCAGTCCATTCTTCTTCGAATCTTGTGTTCTCATCAGCTGTGACATCAGTCAGTCAGTCAAACATTAACTGTTATTTATTTTAGGATACATAATTATTTTAACACTATTTCCCATAACTCATTCAAAATAGTTAGGTTATCCTGAGCTATTTATTTCATCCTCTAGGCTGGGACTGAACTATAAGACCAGGCAAGTGAATCACACGTTCGTTATCGTCCACCTCCAGAGAGACGTGGTCACTAACATGTTCGTCTCCTCCTGCCAAGCCTAAGCCTTAGACTGCGTTTCCAGTAAACGTTTAAAAATCAAACTGTTTGTCTGCCTCAAACACTGGACACTATTGTTCTACATTACATCATGGAAAGTTTACCATTGCGGGGAACTGTTTACATTCCACCTTCTGCTGTTGCCAATATTGGGTGTGACATCATTAGTCCCACTGTTACTAAGCTACAAGCCAAAGACGTTTGTGGTGATAACTCTGCTCCGTTTCCAATGTCCCAGCAGTGTGTCAGCTGCCAGGCCAGAAAAAACAACTTTGTACATCTCTTAATTTGATAATATCCTTGTTTTTCTCCCCTGATAAGAGGCAACCTGTTTTAAAGTTAACTATAAAACTTGTCACAAGAAGCTGAAGAGGACCTAAAAGGTTGTTTTGAGGCAACAGACATGGATTCACTGTCTCAGTGATATAGATAGAACATCAATGCAATGACTGAGTGTGCGAATGCCTATAAACACTCACCAGAACTGTGAGAAGATCTCCCAGTAATAAACCTTGGATCACCACTGATCTGAAAGACCTGCTCAAAATGAAAGCATTTAGGAAGGATGTCTGGTAACAGTTAAGGACTATAAATAAGCAACTTCAGGTCAAAATAAGAGAAAGCAACACTATTTACAGGAAGAAGCTGGAAAGCAAGCTCCAACAGAAAAATATCAGAAAGGCATAGTCAGGGATGAAAAAAATCAAAGAGTTAAAGGCTTAATAGAATGAGACAGACAGAAGTCTGGACAGGGCCAATGAACCAATGATATTCTTCAATTTCAGGAACAAGTCAAACGGACATCCCCCCTCCTTTAACCCAAAGCTTCCCTCTCAGACCTCAAATGTTTCATCTTGATCTCTCCCATGACCTTAATGATTCTATGTATTTTTTCTCAACCAAATCAGAGGTGATAGTGTTCCCTCCCCCTTCCACCTATCTGCTTTTAGAAGGCAAGTGAAAAGAGACAACTGGAGAGAGAAATCACAATAAGGCTCAAGTCCAGATGGTGTCAGCTCCAAAATACTGGAGGCCCTTATAGAGTACTTCTTTTGGATCCTACAGCACCGCTTCAACTTTAGCCTGACCAAGGGGATAGGATGTATAAAGCCGGGCTTACACTGTGCGATATTTTCAATCATTGCACGCAGCTACAGTTCATCTGTACGACAAAACTGCAGAGTTTAAAAGTTCACAGCTCACGATGCATGTTCTCACACACTGAGGCCCGACGCTCGGATGCAATCCACCTGCTCACACTGGACGTCCAGACATCAAATGTCAGACAGAGTGCCGAGAGAAAGTGCTGGTTGGACTTGTCAATCTGGAAGAGGAAGAACTCTGTTGTTTGCACAAGGGCAGTGCTCGAGGTTCTCATAAATCGGCTCGTAGATGCTCATAACTCTGCTTCAACAGTAGGATTTGTCCACAAACACCTTACGACGGTTAACTGAATTTCAAACATGTTTGATTTTCTCCAGACTTTACGATTCCTGATCGGGAGGTGGCCGTGAGAGGCTAATTGCCCCTCGTTACCCCCTATATATTACACAACGCACGATGAGGGTGAAACTCTGCCCGGCTGGAGAATCTGCCTGAAAAGGGCAAAAAATCGTACAATATATGCCCGGCTTAAGACCTGTTGTCAGCATCACAGGAGTACCATGGGGGACAGTACTCCCACCATTCCTTTTTACTCTGCATACCTCCAATGTCTAGTACACAACAAAGTCCTGTCATCTGCAGAAATACTCAAATAACTCTGCAGTTGTTGGGTGGATCACAGATAGACAAGAAGCTGAGTACAAAGGGCTAGTGGGACAATTTGTGGTGTAGTGTGGAAACAATCATCTAATCCTGAATGTGAACAAAACAAAAGAGATGATTGTAATTTTCAGGAGAAACAAGATCAAATTGATTGCAATTAGCATCATGGGAGAAGAAGTAAAGGTGAAGGAGGTGTATAAATCTTAAACCTTGGTGTTTACTTGGACAAAAGACTAGAATAGAGATGCAACTGTAAAACCATCTCTAAGAAGGGAAAGACTAGACTGTAGTTTTTATGGAAGCTTAGGTCCTTCAGTGTTTGCAGGAAATTGCTGAATCTTTGTTAAGTCTGTTGTGGAGAGTTTAATCTCTCCTGCCATCATCTGGTGGGGTAACAGCATGAAAGGGGATGATTTAAAGAAGGGCGGCAAACTGACAGGAAGGCTAGACTGATGAATTCACAAAGAAGAGTTATTTATAAACTAAACAATATTATGCACAATGTGAGCATCCTCCTCAGAAGACTTAAAAAGCAAAGTATTTTAATCCAATGCTTATCCAGATCTGGTGCAAGACAGATCGCCACAAGAGATTCTTCCTGCCTGCCTATTAATAAATACAAAACCTTAAAATAAACGTATAGGGTACTTTTAAATAAATTTAATTGAATCTTAGGTAAACCTGCAGCATGCACCAGGTTCTTACGAAAATTCCTTAACTCAGCCTCCCTGCATCTTATCTTGGGTCTGCATTGTCTACCATGCTCACACTGATTTCACCAGCCTTGTACGCTGTGGTGTCTATAATTTTACTAAACCTTAGCAAAAGTAACCAGCTGCATTGCACACATTATTCTGTGTTTAAGTTTATTTTTGAAGACATCCACCACCTATCAAATTCTGGATCTTTTTCTCTGATTACTCCAGTTTTTTTAACACTATTAAATCCTAGGACTATTGAGGTAAAAGCTGAATAAATCAGGACTGACCCATTTTCTTCCAAATGGCTTCTGCAGAATATGAAGACCCAGATTCTGCAGACTACCCGCCAAAAGACAGATCTATTTGAGTGCGAGGGAAGCTTATTGAGACCTTTCTTTTACTCCGTTACCATTTGTTGTAGCAGCAGTTTGTTTCAATAGTAAAGATTAAGCAAAGGGAGATTATCATTTAGAGGGCCTTTTCTGTTGTGGAATGCCCCATGAACACAGTTCAGGATGTAGTGTGACCAAATGTCCTGAATTGTGTGTGGCAGTCGTCCATGTATCCATTCTTGTCTGCCTTCCCAAAAATGACAACAATTGGCTGGATAAAAAAAAAAGTCAAAGAAGTATTCACAAGAGCTTCTCCTAAATGTGAACAAAGCAAAGCTGTGGTCACTGTCACTGAACTGCACCAGTGCCTGGCATCGTGAACCAAGCTGCTCACAATGCTCTTAACACAGAAAAGGTAACAGATTTTAATACAAAATATGATGAAAAATAGCTTTAAATTAAAGAAGATGCAGCTGCAACAAAGACTGTGGTCTGCAGGTTAAGCCAGTTACAGGTGGTTCTTAGCTTTCCCTTTTCCAAAGGGATTTTTTACATTTGATACAAGCGCGATGGCAGCACTGTAAAAGTGATTCTCCAAAGAAACAAGCAGCTGATGCATACGCATCCTAGTTATCCCACATTTGTTTTGTTTTGGGGGGGTTTTTTCCAGCAGGATGTGAGAGACAAATGGACATTGTGTTTGGACGAATGGAGCAAGGGAGCAACACTGACAGTTTATTCCCTCCAACTGGGATATATGAACCCAGGCTCCCTGTTTACAGGACATGTGACTTACCCCTTCAGCTAGCCAGCTGCTAGCTCTTAATAATAATTGTTGTTTATTGTTCTCACACTAGAGAAATTTACCTCTACATTTAACCCATCGTCTTAGGGAGGAGTGGGCTGCCATTGTGTGATGCCTGGGAAGCAATCAGAGGGTTAAGGGTCTTGCTCTGGAACCCAGAGTAGAGGCTGTGGGGATTGAACCGGGTACTTGCAACCTTCTTAGAGAACAAGCACACTACTCTAACCACTAAGCCGACACTCTCCCCAAAATATATTTCTAATCTAATGATTTCAAATTGATGCAAATCAAAACACATTTTGTAGTTTTAGTTTGTCTCACATATCCTTTCAGTGGTCTTATAAATCTAAAGAAATATTTCCTGGAATAAACTGATTAGTTTTTATTTTTTTGGTTTGTGTTTTTACTGTCATATGCAAAAACTATTACAGGACAGAAAACAATGTAATCTTCCCCGCTTCTTGAAGGTTTAGGAGCAAAAAAATTGCTACTGCCTTTTAAAAAAGTATACAATTGTGGTTCATGAAGACATATGGGGGAATTTTAAAAACCCATTGCCATGAAAAAAAATCACACATTGACTTAAACCTTTATATCATATCTAAAATTTTCACTCTATCGTTCTTATTTTGCTTTTCATTTCTTCTTTTCACACTTATATAACCAACAATGTGTTCAATCACAACATTGTTTTCAATAACTTAACAAAGAACAAAATCACTGATATTTAACCCGTGAATCGTATACAGGACAAAAATGGACAAAGTGAATCAAAACCCGACATAAACACAAATATATAGATGAAAATTACAGTATAAAATCAAAATAGTTATTTTGCTTGCTAATATTACACTGTATATCGACTTTTAAATAATTTTCCATGTAATTTAGCAGCTGTGTGTTTATCAGACCCTTGATCACTGGTCACTTTTGTAACCAGAAATAAAACAGGCTGTTATGAGTAATTTCTGACTTTCCAACTCTGTGGGGGGGAAAATGTGACTAGTGTTGGGTTTGCAGTTCCTCTTTCCAACACTGTTGTGTCTCTTGAGCTTTGGTCTCTTTCCATATCTTGTAAAGGTAAATCATGTTCGAATCCTGGATTGATATAACCTTGTCTGTGCCGATTCCGTACCTCTTCAAATATCTGAAGAACCTGAAGTGCAAGACAAAATGGAAAGCCTCAATATCAATAATCACCAGAATGAAACAGTTTATTCTACTACTGTAGTACAGGAAAACATCAACAATCTTTGTTACCTTGGATTTTGGAATGAGTCCCACTCTGAAGAAACCAATATGTCCAGTTTCAATCTTGGTGCAATCAACGACAGTAGACGCAATATTCTCTGGGGACGGTCCATCGCACAACACCCCTTCCACCTAAACAAAAAAAAACAAAAAACTAAACATATTTACTGCAAACCAAGAATGTGTTTATTTTTCTTTGAACTCATCAGAACTAAATCCTGGTTATTACCTTTTTACCCAGTTTGGCATACACTTGGTTATGGTGAGTTGTGTCTGCTTCACCTGTGGGGTTGGCTGAGGTGACTGCAATTGGACCCACCTTTCAGACATAAAACCAAGTCAGTCAATTAAGTTATATTTATTTGAAATCTGATGGTCTTTTGTGCCTAATGTTAGAGTTTACCAGATTAATTAGATGTGTGGCTACTGCACAGTCTGGGCTTCTGATGGCAATGCTTTGTGGAGTTCCAATGTGTATGGCAGCATCTCCCAAACCAAATACATCTAACCAAGGACCTGTAAGAGTAAGCCCATGAAACAAATATAATATTCAAAAAGGATATATAGTCTCATCTGAAAATACTGACTCTCTCACCTCTGGGTATGACCATGCTAATTGATGAAGGCCATGCAGCCTCCATGAAGTCGAGGAGCAGAGGGCTCAGCAGGTGTCTAACAGGCTCCAGCTGCTTGACAGAAGAGATCCACATAGACATGGGTCGGTCCTGAGCCTGTTTCTTAACCCTAAAACCAAACAGCAGTGATTCTTGATGGGGAAATAAATAACTGTGACACTCTGAGACAGTTTCAATATAATGAGACTTACTTGTAAGCTTTGATAACTGCATCTGGCCTGTTGCAGGCAGCTACCAGCACATAGACAGTGTCAGTTGGCATTCCACATATGCCTCCATTTTTCATTATTTCTGCATCCAAAAAAACAGAGAACAGTGTGAAAGCTGAGTCCAGGTCAAACATCTAAATAGCTTTAAGCAAAAAATGATAAGTTATGTATTTCTACCTGCAATCTGCTGGACTGATGATGCTTTGCGAGCTGGTACATGAGGACAGACTCCTTCCCCTCCTCCGACCCCACCCAGCTTGACTAAAGGTTTTCCCAAAGGGATTTGGGGAGACTGAAAGGTGCTATTAAAAAGGTGCGCCAAAAAACAGTAAAAACTGACAAGACCAAAGATGATTGTGACGCCAATATCATAACCATAAGGCAGTGCACCTATTGCATCAAGCAGGAAGCTGATTAGGATAAGCTGGAAAGTAAATGCATAGATGAACCAGGCAACATTTAGAAATAAAGCTGCAATTGTCACCAGAAGGTTAAACAACATGAAGCTAATAATCCCAACAGCTACGTTAAAGCTTCTGGTCTCACCATAAAGACCACCGAATCGTGTTAACCCCCATACTGTCCACATCACCCCATAGAGAATAAAGGCTGTGCTCTCAAACGTTTTACCCCGAGCAAATGCCACAGAACCACAAAGTAGCTGCAACACTCCACCAGCCATTACGGCCCAGGGTAGAACCAAAACCTCCAAGGGATTCCTGTCTCCAATGGTGGCTGTAATGGCAAAAGCAGCCAGAACATTGCAAGCATGGCCCAACACTTCTGCATCTGCATACTTGGAGTAGCCGAGGTGGGGCGTATGTCGCTCTTTATCGAGAGCCCTGAGAGTAAGAGTTTTAATCCTATTTACTGAA